CTCCTTTGGGTAAACTTCAACTTCCTTTGGGAGGAATATATGTGCTCCAGAGCTTTATCATGTGTCAGTTCTTGAGAGACTTCGTTTTAAAGCAGAATCCAGTGTCTGAAGGTGTCATGCTAACTGGTGTCTGAGACAGACCTGCCTCTCACTGCATTCTACGCTGTGAATGGTCAGCCCTTGAGTCAAAAAGAGAAAGACAAAACAATCCTACTACATTTAAAAATAATGAAGGCCTTCTTTGTCAATCTCAAGTGGAATCCAGTGTTTGAGCAGTGTGGCAAGGTAGCAGGGGTCCTGCCACCTTGACCTGTGAGATCTTTTTAGGGGAATGACAGCCTCAGTTCTGTCTCGTGTAGGACAAGGGCATCTCTAACTGGTCTCCAGGTTCTCCTTCTGATGACTGTAAGATGAGCCATTTCTAAGGGACTCACAAATAGTTACCTTCACTCTAAAGATTGGCGGGGAGAGGATTCAGTGTCAGATGTATGATGCTGCCACATCCCAGGCGGCATAGCTTAATGCACTTCTGAAGACTGAACCAGGCAGGCTGACTCGAATGCTGTTGAAATGTCAGGCTGCAGTGTGGGACGCTGTTGGACATCTGCATTACTTCTGTTTTTTAAACAACATTACTCTGCTGAGAATAGCTCTGTGTCACCATCTAATGGCTCTTGTCAGTGTAGTGATCAAGGACGGAAAACGGAAGCACTTTATGTGGAAAAACAGGAAAGATATGAAGCCTTTCCTAAACCTGAAACACAACACAGATCCATCAACAGCCCCCTTAGAACGGCTTCCCTGCTTTCTGGGACTGACTTCAGTTCACTGACCGTCATTCACGCTCACACTAAAGTCATTTATCTGCAGGCTACACATTATGCTACACAGACCACAGCATTGTAGATTTTTCCAAATGTAATATACAAGTCCAAATTGATTGCAGCCCAACGTAAATTTGGTCAAGTCTTTAATATACTCTATTAAGGCATGAATACAATTTTAAAGCTTTGTCTCAGCTCTGGAGAAGCGGAGACAGGAGCTGAACCAGTTGTAAACCACCAACATAAAATGTTACTGTTGGACATGGTGTTTATTCTCAGCAATGTGTCATCTAAAATAATGAACTTTTGTTTTCAAATGTAAACATGAGCAATTTACCTGTTAATATAAAACAAGAAGTTTATAAGGGGGCCAATTTGATTCCTTCCTCCTCACCAAGGCTAACCTGTATATCACACTGTCTATGGGCATACACTTTACGTTGGCCATTGGCTGTACCTATGGGGCCAGTGCTTCCTAGCACAAAATCATCTTTCAAAGCACAAGAGGAAAGGTACCAGTTATCTTCCCCACCTCCAGTTGAGATAGGGAAGTTTATTCGAGCAGCTCTGGCAGGTATTTGGCACAGTCTGTGTTATTCCAGAATGATTATGCAAGGCTTAGAATGTAAAATTGTGTGCTTTCAGAATTTAGGCTTTAAATAATTTGTCATACCTTATAGGAAGGCTTTATGGGAAAAGATTGGATGGACTTGGTCTATGCTATAGCTGAGAATGTGTAATGAGAAATAGGATCCAGATTAAACCTTGGTTTACCTGCACTGTCAGGCTCTTACGAGGATAAATACAAGCTGGGTGAGAGATTCCTTGGGGTTTCCTTGGTTTGGCAGGACTCTCTGGGGATGTGGCTGGGTAGTGGGCAATGGCATGACTGGGAAGGAGGAGGAAAGAAGGAGCCTTGCTGCTTTGGGGAGGGGGAATGAAGGATTCCTTTAGCCACTAACCACAGGAGGCTGGTCCCAACTGAAACATGCCATAAAAGCTACACTGGGTTTCAAAGTAAGAAAAAAATGTAAAACACTGTATAAGTATTTTGATTGGTTAACACATTGAAACCATGTGTGGAATGATATTCGTGGAATACTGGATTAAAATTGATCTCACCTTTTTAAATGTGGTTGAGATTTTAAAATGACAAGATATGGCACCGTTATGGTGGACAGTGCTACTTATGTATAGTGGGATCCATGTTTACTTTCTTGCTTATGTTTTATTTTTCATACTGAAAATGAGACAAAATAGTGTCCAAGAGAAAAATTAATATAGGTTGTGGATTTTGAAGTCCAGTAAGCATATGACTTGGCTATAGCCCTTGGGTAACTAACCTCTGAGACTCAATATCCTCATCTATAAAATGAAGATAAGAGCAGTTTTTATCTTAGCAGGCATGAGAAATGCACAGGAAATTAGAGAGAACTAAGGGAAAACACAGAGGGAAAACACAGTAAGCAATTAGCATCCTTCTTGCTTACATCTTATGACCTGTCTGATGCCTCATCTTTTAGACGTTGACCATTTCTAAGTTCCTTGTTTCCCAAATTTGTATTTTCTTTCATGTCTAAACTTGGCCTTCTTTTTTCTCATCAATGGAAAATCTCTAGTCTGGTTCCCCATCTTCTGCTATTTAGGGACCGCTGCCCTGGTTTGAATAATCTTTCTTGTACCAGAGACTGGTTTTGTTTCATGGACAGAGGTTGGGGGATGATTCAAGTGCATTACAGTTACTATGCCTCTTATTTCTATGACATCAGTTCTACCTCAGATCATCAGGCATTAGATCCCAGAGGCTGGGGACCCCAGGACTGGACTAAGGTCCCCCCTACTTACTACTATAACTGTTGGGGCAAGAATTCTAAAACTCTAAACCAGCCAGAGTCTTTCATCTGCCCTCATCCCTTGCCTCCTACCTGGGATGCTGGGTCTTTCTTTCATGAAACTCTGCTTCATTTGATGGGATGGTCGTTCAAGGACAACTGATACCAGGCAAAGGGGGTGAAGGTGATGGGAGAATGAGGGCCACGTAAACAAGAGATCAAGAGGACGGACAGGAGAAGCAAAACTGTAGAACTTCTTTCCTTCTGACCACACAGCTGCCTTTTCTTTCTCCTTGCTTTAGAAGCTGTACTAGGTTCAAGCCATGGTAACTACAAGGTGGCTCTTCCTTGCCTCCCGAAGTACAACCTCCCACAGTGGAGTATAGCAACACATCTAAAACCCTGTGTTCAGGTTCCATTTTCTAAGAGATGAGACCTTCGATGAAGATGGTTGTTACTTGTTTTCAGAAATTCAGTGGCAAGAGGAAAAAATTGAAAATTTGGTAAAGATATGTGGCTCCCCTTAGGTAAAGTGAGCTACCTGGCTCCTTCACAATTAATGAGATGAATTTTTCAGTCAGAGCTACATGAGATAAAAACAAGGAGACACAAGAATAAGAACACACTTGGAATAGTGCAGGTGGCTGGATGCACCCATCCCTCTCAGAGCAATGAAAAAAAAAACTCCTTGATTTACTATGCAGTTTTTTTTTTTTTGATAATCAGAAAAATGTTGATTTTTGTTCTCATCCAGCAGCTGTAACTAGGTGTTTCAGAATGTACGCTTAAGGTGATTTTTTTTTTTTTTGCCTTTCATCAGATCGATATGTTACTTTGCCTAGTTTATTTTTAGATTTACTGAGTGTTCTGAGGGTAGAAAAGGGTAGGAAATTCAAAGGAAAGAAGCAAATTGGTTCATATTTCAAGTTCGGGCTGAATCTGGACAGGAGAAACCCTTGGAAATTAACAGGGGGAACAGGTTTCCTGGGCCCTCTTTGCTGACAGCTGGGATAGTGGAAGGATTTACTGATGGGGGGACTGGGGAATTTCAGTGCCAGAGAATATAACCAGGGCCCCTCACCTGAGTGTGTGTAGGAGGGCCAACCCCAGATAGGTAAAGAGAGCTGTTTTTCCTGGAACATTAATGAAATATTGATCAGAGGCAAGAAGGGGTCATTGCCAACAATCACTTCTCTGTAATTTCCTAGAAGATCAGAGGGTATGAAAATGTGAATGAATTTTTCTTCCTATTTAAATTTAGGAGAGGAGGAGTTTCTTAAAAATCCAAAACACAGCTCTAAGATATCAGCTGTTTACGTAGCAACTTTCATTTGGTGTCTTGGCGCCTAGAGAGATGAGAGCACATGTTCTGCAGGTGCCTGATCTTCATCTGCTGTTTTACTGATGCTTTTGGTCACTGTGGATAAATACTGTGTGATAGCAAGTATCACACGGCATCTTTTTCTCTGTCAAAGGTTGTAAAAAGAGCAGTGATGGTGTAATTCAGAATGCAAACACGTGGGCATGAAAATATCTGTCCATGTAGTCAACTTTTGATCCTCTTGGGGGCATCTTTTTAGGGCCTGATCTTTTCTGGGCCACTGACAGTACAGCTTAGTGCAACAAAAAGTGAACTAGTGAGTTATGAACCTGAAGTTAGATATTTTCCATTATTTTTGGATAATTACCTTTTTTCCCCCATAAGGGTGGAAGATATGACATAGCTAAAAACATCTGAAAAGAAACAGAAGTGCTATTGCAGATATGAATGTTGTAATTACAGGTGTACATGCCTACTAAATATATGTCCAAAACACACTCTCAGTGACTCCTGCTTTTGCCTCCCCTGAAACGGAATGCACAATTAATGTCACTAAATATAATTCTCTGTTACCAAAAGAATGCCACATCCCTTTGTCTTCAAAATATCACTGGATCACCTCTATGCAAACATTCTTTACAAATATTACTTCATCTGATATGGCTATACTGTATCCACCTAGTCTTTAAAGGACAAAACAAGATTTATGGACTACATAAAATTTTTCTAGATACACTAACAGCAATGAAAACACTTTAAATTAACAGGTATCAACAGGTATAAATAACTTGTCTAAAGCATTTAATGGTCTTTAACACAGTCAACTCCCCTGGCCTTGAAAACAGTGTAAATTCTTTTTTGCCAGTGGCAAAAAAAAAAAAGCCCATCAAGCACAACGTGAAAAATTGGTATCATTTCCCTGCCAGTAAGCACAGAGCTGAGGGACTAAATATTTTATGGGTATTTCTTGTCATCGGCCTTATGGTTTGCTTCCCCTCTTCTCCCTCCCTCTTGCCTGCTCAGGGCTGATTGTTGTGACCTTGGCCGTCTGCTGGATGCCCAACCAGGTTCGGAGGATCATGGCGGCGGCCAAACCCAAGCACGACTGGACCAAGCCCTACTTCCGGGCATACATGATCCTCCTCCCCTTCTCAGACACCTTCTTCTACCTGAGCTCCGTCGTCAACCCGCTTCTGTACAATGTGTCGTCGCAGCAGTTCCGAAGCGTGTTCGGGCAGGTGCTGCGCTGCCGCCTGACGCTGCCGCACGCCAACCAGGAGAAGCACCTGCGTGCCCACGTGGCCTCCACCATGGACAGCGCCCGCTCCGCGCGCCGCCCGCTCATCTTCCCGGCTGCCCGGCGCAGCAGTTCCTCTGCAAGAGCTAACAAGGTTTTCTTAAGCACTTTTCATAGTGAGGCCAAGCCCGAGTCTAAGCCTCAGGGGCTGAGTTGCGAGTCACCAGAACCCGACTTGGGGACGAAACCAGCCAACCCTGCCACCGGGAATGGTTTTCAGGAGCACGAAGTGTGACTGCTGAGGAAGGCAGGCTGGACTGCTAAGCAGCACTCCTTACACGAAAGCCATGTTACCTTCACGCGGCAGTGATATAAGAAACTGTGCTCCCATCAGGGGCAGGAGTGGAAGACCGGCCTGGGAAGAGCAGCCAGCCACTGAAGTGTCAGCTAAGAGCTGATTCTGCCAGCCTGGCCTCAACTCTGATTACAGATGGGACCAACTTGCATCCCACCTCCTTCCTTCCTTCCTTCAAGGACACAACAAAAATTCAAGCTCTATGTATTCAGAGCTCACAAGGATTTTTTCCTTTTTTTTTTTTTTTTTTTACATTGAGCTCTTTGTTTCCAAAGGAACTAAAAGAACAGATTCCCCTCCCTACCCAGAATAAAAGGACACCCAGGAAAATCTCGGGGAGCAGGGGAGGGCAGGCCAGAAGAACAATGCAGGAGGGGCTGACATCTCCTTCCGCCTTCAGCAGTGTGCAGAGAAAAGGGCTATCTTGAGGAGCAAGATGGTGCTGGGAAGCCATGGCCGAAGGGCCGAGGCAGAACTGCTCCTTTTCTTGGGCCGGGGCCCGTTGCAAAGAGGGGTGTTGCAGCAGCTGATGCACACCGAGTTCAGTTTCCCTGGGGAGCAGAAGGACTGGTACCCAGCCGAGGCGATGAGGCAGGCTGCCGATGACGCACACGACTTGCGGTACATGATCCCTGCAACACAGACCCAAAGGAGCGAGGTTAGCCTGCCTGCGCCGGCCAAAGGACTGCAGCCCCCCGAGTCTGAAGCCCAGGGACAGCACTTCCTGTTACTCCTCCCACAGCCCAGAACCTTGGTGGGTCCAGGAAGATACTCAAGGTTGTTTCCTTGAGCATCCAAAATCCACAACCTGTGCAGTGAAGAAGGCAGGCCTCATTTCACTTGCTTTTGACAATTTTCCTCAAGGCTATTTGAGATGCCAATACCAGTGAATAAAGAGCTGTTACTATCAAAGTTCATTTTTGTTTAAAGTCGGAATTCACACTGTGTACTAGACAGAGGTTTTTATTTACTTTTTTTGGTTTAAACTGTCTCATGCCAGAGAGGCCGACAAGCTGAGCCTTAAGATCTTATCTGTTATTACTTTATAAGCGGCCACAGAGATGGCTCACAGTGATTTTTTTATTAAATCCTGAATTCTCTCAATAAAGACCAAAGCCCAGTGGGAATAAATGAGATCCCTCTGAAGAGGCTCTGGGGGTTGAGTGAAGGAGGGGTCTGGCTAACAGTGTGCTGAGCACTGCCTTAGTCCAAGGGAAGTTTTGCCCTTAAAACATGGCCATTAGCCAAGTCAGCCCTACATAGCCAACACTTAATAACACATACTGTGTGGGCACATGGGTTTCTCAGTAAAACCGGGGGCCCATCTTGAGCTCATGTATCATGTTCAAATTGTAGCATACTTATCCAGTTAGGGTGTCTTGGATAATTATTTGACTTTATAAAAGTGGGCATTTGCTCAAGTAATAGGTAAGCTTATTAAATACTTTCCTGGATGCCAGGGATGCTCCAGATGGTGACTAGCTCATTTACTACCTGCAACAACATTACAAGGGAGGCCCCTAATATGATGCCCATTTAACAGATGGGGATGGCAAGGGAAATTTAATAACTTGTTCAAGTCACACTTCTAGAAAGCAGAGCAGCTGTGATCTGAACCAAAGATTCTGGTCCCATGCTGTCAAATCTGTAGCACTATATATAGCAAAGAAGCCACCCAAGTTAAACACAAAATGGTTTTGTATCCCACAGCAGAGAAGACTGCTTGGAAAATAGCTTTTGGTGTATGTGTGTGGCTATATTTGTATCAATGACTTACTTTTCTTTTTGGACATACGATGTCATACTAAAGCTGGACCTCAGAGGGAATGCCTTGTATCCCCCCTCAGATACGCAGGGTAGCAAATGGGCTACACACAGTCCACCAGTAGCCAGGGCTCCCCATTCCCTGGGGTTCCCGGCAGGGATGTCTGTTTGCATCCCCCCTTTGATTTGGGTCCCTCCCCCTTGAGAACTGCTACTCTGGATGCTAGAGAAACAGTACACAATTGAAGTGCCTAAAACTTCCAAGTGAGAGGTAAAGAAATACTTTAGATTTACATTGAAACATGCAATTTTATGTCATTTCTTTTCTATAACTACATGTTTTTAAGAGTTGACTTTCTTACACTGTTAGAAAAACCTGGAAGGTAGCTGGTCTGGTAAGATAAAGGCCCTGGACACAGGATGTGTGTGTGGGGGGGAGCACTGCTGGTTTCTAAGGAATATGCTATAGGGTGTTTCCCATTTACAGATTTCCCAGTCTCCACATTTTCTAACCATTGCCCATTTTAGAAAGTTAAATTATTACTATGTTTTTATTCTTCAATATTAAAAGTAATAAGTGTCATTTGTCAGTTCAACTTCAATAAACTTTTTCCCTTTAAGTAAATTTTTAAAATTAAACAAGTACTGAATACATCTTTCACTGCAAGGAAGTTCAGACGGATAACTTGAAAATGTCCCTTGACCTCTCACTCCAATCCTATGTCCTCCCTAAGAGGTAAGCACTCTTACCAGTTTGTGATGCCTTGTTCTAGATCTACTGCTATGCACTTACATGTGTCCATGGAGAAAAAGTGTGTGCACATGTCCTAACAGCATAACATCCTATATGCTGTATATATCTCCTATTTGCATTTTTACTTAGAACATATCTGGGGATATATTAAGTCTAACTGTATAGAACTAAGGGTAAGTGATAAGTTACTTAAGATAAGTAACACAAGATGGGAGCCCTAATTTTTGTGACTGCTTCCCATTGGATATCTCCAAATCACTTGGCTCTGATGGCCAGTGGGGCCTACACTTGTGGCCCTGCAGAACTGTATATATTTGCATTCTTTAAATGTTGCTACCAGGGTGTTTGCCTGCCAATCAACTTGAATCTAGGTGCTAAGATCCTATCCTTTGGGGCACTAACTGACCTCAGCACACACTTAACTACTGGGAGCTATTAAACACAAAACGCCTGCTTAGAACGAAATGTCATTTGCAGCAACATGGAATGACCCAGAGACGGTCATACTGAGCGAAGTGAGTCAAACAGAGAAGGAGAAATACCATATGACATCCCTTATATGAGAAATCTAAAAAAAAACACAGATGAACATTTTTATAAAACAGAGAGACTCACAAACTTAGAGAATGAACTTATGGTTGCTGGGGGGAAAGTTCGGAGGAAGGGATAGTTAGGGAGTTTGGGATGGACATGTACACATGGCTATATTTAAAATGGATAACCAACAAGGACCTACTATACAGCACAGGGAACTCTGCTCAGTGTTATGCGGCAGCCTGGATGGTTGGGGAACTTAGGGGAGAAGGGATATATGAAGACGTATGCCTGAGTCCCTGTGCTGTCCCCCTGAAACTATCACAACACTGTTAGTTAGCTACACTCCAATTTAAAATGAAAGAGTTTAAAAAATAATAAAATAAGCTGTTTAGACAGTTGGAAAGGTTGAAGAGATAATCAAAAGCTGGCATAGTGTTGAATGATGAGGTACATCTCCTATACTAGGCCAACCCTTCAGGTGGCTATTTCATCTAATGCATAGAAACCAGTACAAGTTGTCAAAATGAAAAGATGAATATGTTCCAAAAAATAAAACTTCAGAAGAAAATTTTAATGAAAAACAGGTGATTTACCAGAGAAAGAGTTCAAAGTAATGCTCTTAAACATGCTCATTGAACTAGGGAGAAGAATAGATGAGCACAGTGAGAATTTCAGCAAAGATAAAAAATATAAGAATGTATTAAATAGAAGTCACAGAGTTGAAGAATACAATAATGGAATTGAAAAATGCTCTAGAAGAGTTCAACAACACATTAGGTAAAGGAGAAAGAAGGATCAATGAACTCAAAAACAAGGCAGATGAACTCACCCAATCAGAGCAGAAGAAACAAAAAGGTATCAAAAAAACTGAAGATAGCTTAAGGGACTCATGAAACAATCTCAAGTGGATTAATATTCACATTATTGGACTCACAGAAGAGGAGGGTAGAAGACTTATGTGAAGAAATATTGGCTGCAGATTCCCTAACTCGGGGAAAGAAATAGACATCAAGAGTCAGGAAGCCCAGAGAGTTCCAAATATGATGAACCAAAAGAAGACCTTAAGACACATAATAATTAAAATATATATATTTTATTATATATATAAGAAAATATAAGAAAAGAATATTAAAAGTGGCAACAGAGAAACAACTTGTTGGAACCCCCGTAAGATGAGCAGATTTTTCATGAGAAACTTCAGGCGAAAAGAGAATGGCACAATACATAGGCATACCTCACTTTCTTTTTGTTTAACTGTCCTTCACAAATACTGTGTTTTTTCCACCAACTGAAGGCTGATGGCAACCTGAGTTTACCAAGTATACTGGTAAAAAAGTGAAGTGAGCAACTGCTCACTTCATGTCTCTGTATCATGTTTTGGTAATTCTCACAGTATTTTAAACTTTTTCATTATTATGTTTCTTATAGTGATCTGTGATCAGTGGCCATTGATATCACCACTGTAATTGCTTTTGTCTTGTATTTTTACTTACAGTATGTACTTTTCAAAAAGGTATAATGCCATTGCACAGTTAATAGATTACAGTATAAACATAACTTTTATATGTACTGGAAAACAAAAAAAAAACTTGTGTGATTTGCTTTGTTGCAATATTTCCTTTATTTTGGTTGCCTGGAACTAAACCACTCCCTTGCCCCCAGTATCTCTAGGTATGTCTGTATTCAAAGTGCTGAAAGAAAAAAAGAAAAAGAAAAAACTCCCAAATAAGAATATTCTAACCTGGCTTAGTTGTAATTCAGAACTGAAGGAGAGATGTAGAGTTTTCCAGAGAAGCAAGAGTTAAAGGAGTTCATCACCTCTAAACCAACGTTATAATAAATGTTAAAGGGGCTATTTAAGATGAAAAGAAAAGGTGCTAACTAGCAACAAAACATATGAAAGTAAACATCGCACTGATAAAGGTAAATATCTAGTAAATGTAATAGATTAGTCACTTATTAGACTTGTATGAAGGTTAAAACACAAAGGCAGTAAAAACAAGTAACTAAATAATTACTTAAGGGATACACAAGATAAAATTAAATTTGAGTGGAGACAAGATGGAGGAGTAGAAGGGTGTAGGCTTAGCTCTTATGAAAACACCAAAACCATGGTATAGCTACTATGGAGAACAGTTTGGAGATTCCTTAAAGAACTAAAACTAGAGCTACCACATGACCCTACAATCCTAATCCTGAGTAGATATCCAGAGAAAAGACCTGATCTGAAAGGATACATGCACCTCAGTGTTCACTGAAGCACTGTTTACAATACCCAAGACATGTAAGCAACCTAAATGTCTATCAACAGAGGAATGGATAAAGAAGACATGGTACATATATACAATGGAATATCACTCAGTCATTAAAATGAAATAATGCCATTTGCTACAACATGAATGGACACAGAGGTCGTCATACTATGGAAAGTAAAAGAAAGAGAAATAATTGTGTGACATCCTTTATATGAGGAGTCTAAAAAGAAATGATACAGATTAATTTTTTTACAAATTAGAAATAGACTCACAGACCTAGAGAATGAACTTATGGTTGCCAGGGGGAAGGATGAGGG